TCTCTCTCTCTCTCTCTCTCTCTCTCTCTCTCTCTCTCTCTCTCTCTCTCTCTCTCTCTCTCTCTCTCTCTCTCTCTCTCTCTGTCTGTGTGTCTGTCTCTGTTGAGGTCATGGTTCCTACCCTGTCTTATGGTGCCTTCTTCATTTCCAGATTTGTTTTTATTTTTATTTTTGAAATAAAAACAGGTCCTTATGGCCCTGGCTCCATTTCCATTCTGGGGAGCATCAGTCCGGTTCCTATTCCCCCCGCAAGTCAAAAATTTGATACATCATAGAACACGCCCACGCTTCCTTCCGTCTGGCCGAAGGAACCCTGATCAGCATTGATTACTCCAACCTCGTGGAGGATTGACTGTCAGTTTGCCCTGCTTCCACCTTTCCTCTCAGGACTACTATACGCACCTGCCATATAAAACATGAACAAGCAAGAAAGGTCTGAGAAGCGACAACTGCTGCCAATTCTGTTCTGTCTAAACCCTAAACCCCGCAAAAGAGCCTCGTGAAAACTCAAGCCTTCTAACCCCTGCTTACCTTGTTTCTGTCCAAACCCTGACCCTAAGCCCTAGACAAGCTTAATCTATTTTTTTCCATCTGTTCGATGTGAAACATCTTCTGCCGCCTGTCGTGCGTGCATCTTGGATACTCTTCTAGGCCCAGATTGGAGGCGGTTCTTCATGTGCCTGGGTATTCAGCTGACCTACTACAGACTTGACAGAATTGTGCCCACTCCTTCCATCTTAAAGCATGCCCATTTAGCCAAAAGCCACTTTGTCACCTACCAACCGGACCCGTTTGAATTTGGCAAGTGGCACCTGTTCTGTCTCTGGACTGTTCTGCACCCAGAGTTGAACCTTCCTCCAGTGACAGACGATTTCCGCTTCAATCATCTCTTTGGTTGCCACCCACACTTTCTCCCGTGGGTTCTTCGTGCCATCCAGTGTTCTGCTGCATCTCTCCTTCCATATGGCGCATAGCGTGACCTTGCGCACCATCGCGAACCAGATTTTCTCTGATTTGCCGAAGTTGGAGGGTAAGTTAAGTCCAGAGGAGCAAGTGAAGGGGGTGCTCTGGGAGGGGAGATAAGAATAGACTGTCCCATAGTGCTGCTGCTCTTGCCCAATACTCTGTGGCTTCATTTCCAGATTTTCTTTCCCCTCTGCAGTCATGATTCTTTACGCCCAATACTCTGTGGCTTCATTTCCAGATTTTCTTTCCCCTCTGCAGTCATGATTCTTTACTTCACTGCCCTTAATTGGCCGTTACAAATAGTCCGCTGCCCCCACTTTGTCCTTTGAAATAAAGAAAAGCTGACAGACACAAAGGAAAGGGACTTAAAGAGGTGTACATGGGATACGATTTTTAAATAAAACAGCTCCCCAAAATGAGATAAGGACCCAGTCTAGTCTGTTGATACTGGAAGATCTGCGCCTGGGTTCAAAGCGCAGCTCCAAACCATACGTCATCAGTCTGCTGGTCCCTGGAGATCTGTACCTGGGTTCAAACCCCGGCCTTCGCCAATGTGTGTGGATGTGCATGCATGTGCGTGCCTGTGTGGGCATATCGCGCGTGTGGGTGCTTTGCGTGTGTGGGTGCATAATTATCTGGAAATGAGACTCATTTCACTCAAAATCGCCCATCGGGTGCAACCTGTCCACGATACCAAATGGGATCATTGAATCACCATCACGGAGTTACTTTCCCAGTTCTCAGGATCTTCAATTCAATTGCATTTTCTACTCTCCCAAAGGCCAGTCCCTTGATGATATTTGGGCCTACAATCACCAATTCCACACCCAACGACACTCCGATAGAGCAGGTCCCACCATGGTCGGAAGCACCCGGAGTTAAAGATATAACATACAGTGCACTTGCCAACCATTCTGAACGCCTGCTGACATCCCAGAATGACGGCGGATATGGCCCAGACACTACCTTCTTCACCCACAATACAACGTACGGTCATTATTGCCCAATTTAGACGGAAAGACACCCTAAATACAGCTACAATGACCGTACTTTGTATTCAGGTGAAGAAGGTAGTGTTTTGTGTCCTGAGTCGAGTCGCTTGGCCGCACGCATTTGACGGCTCACCGACACAACAAAGAATGACACCGTCAATCGATCTGGATTGGCATAAACGATAAATGGGTGTTAGAACTAGCCAAAGACAAAACAGCACCGGAAATCGGTCTGAAATGGCATCGAAGACTCTTATCAAATGACATAGAAGACTCTATGAAATGACCCGAATGACTCTACGAAGAAACTGACACGGCATGAAACTTTACGTGATACAAACGCCCACCATAACGACACGAGTGGATCTACAAACAAAACTTCAACCGACTGTCACCCAGTGAACAATGGACAATCGAATTCGACGATGTGGTTCGTTCCACTTAATGTCGCTGCAGTTCATTTTCGCATACCGTAAATCCCCATCCTTCACGCTCGAAAAAACAACTTCACACGGCTTTAGCGGAATAACGGAGCATTCAAACTTTCCAAGTTGTGTCGCACCTTTTCATCCAGCCACTGAATCCGATCCACCACGATCATCACAATGAGAAACACCTTAACTCGAAACAGAGAAAAAAACAAGCATGTTCAGCCAGCCCCAAAGTTGGCATGTGAGAGGGGCGGGGGGCGGGGGGGGGGGGGGAGGGGAAGGAGGAGAGTAGTAAATGGGGTCAAAAGAAAAAAACACAGATACTCACCATCTTCACTGAAGTTTCACTCAGAGGTCAACTGATCAAGCCTTGGCGGGAGTCCATCCTCTTATGTCTTCTAACGAGAACTCATAGGTCTCTTCCGATCCCTTTCGCACAGAGATACCTTTGTCGGCGAGGAAATCCTCGATGCTTCCCGGCTTACCAAACCAGCCCATCCTGTCGGCAATCAAGTGAAGATTCTGGCATCCAGGACATCGCACAACCACTACACCCGTGTCGTATGTTTTTCGGCTCATTGTCTTCGCAGACCGGGTTTCACAGACATTGCATGTGAAGATCAGCGCCATGTCATGCCTTTTGGAAGTCACGAGACTATCAATAGAACTGCCTGAAGGGCACTGTGGCAGTGCAGAGCACTCGCCCACATGATCCCTTGACGTCAACTGCGCAGCATCACGTTCCTCCGAAGCCTCCGGAGAGGGAGGAGCTCCATCCCCTGTTGTTTGATGCTCATCTTTATGCTCAAGAGCAGAAGATGATGAGGTACAGTATGGATATGATGGGAAAGGTGTCGAAAAGCGAATCGCAAATGCAACAAGATCTTTTGCTCTCAAGTGAGAACAAGGATGCGTGACATATTGTCGCCGCTCAGGCATTGATAGGTCCTTGTTCAATGAATGAGCATGTACAGAACCTGAGACAAGACCCAGATGAGAGAAGAGGAAGGAGAGCAGCACACAATTACATATAAGAAAAGCTGCCCCCATTTCCAAAAAGAAAAGGAAGGAAAGGGTCCTTTGCGACATCCATTAAAATTGGAATGATGAGA